ACCAACCGCTTATAGAATTGCTAAGAAGTGGTGTAAATTTCAGACTCTATGTGGCAGCTAAAAACTTTAATCAATCCTTACCCATTATAATATTTTTTCTGAATACAACTACAAATATGAAGTGACAGTAAAGGCACAAAAAGTAAGTGCCAATGAATTATTGGAACAGCTGCTAAGCTAAAAAGTGAATGAATCAATTTGTTAGGTATTAATTACCAACGAAGGCCTAACACTTTGAGATATTAATCTTATTATTATTGTTTATGTATTTATATGTGTTAATCATTTTTGAAATAATTTTTGTATTTTATTTGTTTCATAATATTCTTGCTGGAAAATTAATGATATTTTCAATTATTAAATGATAATAAGCATTGAGAATATTTTAGTTTGAATGAATATTTTGCTCTTTGTTTACAAATAAATTTTTTAAATATTTTTTTCGTTCTATCATTCTCTCTTTTCTTTGAATATATTTGTTGAATTCTTTCTGCAAATGAAGATTTTTTTAATTAATCTTTTTTTCATCTTTCTCATCTTTTTCTCTTTCGATCTTCCTACCTTCCAGGTGTTCTTTTGTCTTCAGATAAACATTTTTCTATTTATTTAATCCTAATATAGCATTATTGTATTTAGAAGAACTTGATAGTTTCTAATATAGCATTATCATATTTAGAATAATTTCATAGTTCCTGTTATATCTCGAAATTTCTAATTTTGCATCGGTGTTGGAATGCTGGAATATGCGTGTTAAATGACTTATTCAACTTAAAAATACATTTTGTTGTAATCATTATCGCATTTTCATGCATATCTTTCACCTTGTACTAATTAATAATTGAATACTTCAAATAAAATAAAAGAAATCCTTGTGCCCCCACCCCCTTAGATTCTAATTTGTTAAGTTATCAAGATTTAAAATTATTATTAAAATTTTGGTATTTTATAAAACTGATCGCGCAAATTTCTTTTTTATTAGTTATCCGAATACTTCTGAATTACGTAATCGATAAGAAATGAAAAGAATAAAGTTTAAATTTTGAAAAAAATTGTTAAAATCAAAAAAAGAAGAAAAATAAAAGCAAAAATTTGCATTACAGAAAAATTAGTATGGAAAGTGAAATGATAAACGAATATAAAAAGGATTGAAATAATTCAATCAATTTAGTACTTTTTAAATTAAACGGTAAATTTGGTCGTTTAAATATTTAGTGGTAGAAATTTCAATTAAATATCAATCTGATGCAACCTGTTTTTCTGATGCAACCATCTTCATCAGTTGGAAGCATTAGCTCTCAAACAATAATTTCTACGACAACAAATGAATCATCAACAGGTTAAAATAAGAGTAGAAATCTATCTATCTGTAAGAAATAAAAATTTAACAGAAAATATTTTAAACTCAAATAATTTATAAAAATTTCTAAAAAAAATTAAAATTGCTTACAATCAATAAGAAAGCTTTTGGCTTTTTTCTCTTTATTTTAAAAATTGTATTAATTAAGTATTTAATTGCAGTAGTTAATTGATAAAATTAACAAATATTAAGGGAAAAGTTGCCTTTTTTCTCTTTGTTATAATTTCATCATTTTGGATAACTAATGAAAAGAAGTTGTAGGATCAGCTCGTGAAATTAGTTCACAAATTTTATCAGATGAAGAAGCTGATAATTTGATTGTGAAATTATTCAATTGTATTACGATTGATTCGAGAAATCGTAAAGTGGTAAATGATGTACTCAATAATATTAATATTATTGAAAATATGATTGCACGTTCTAAGTTCGCTAATTTTTCAATTTATTTTATATATTTTAAGAAATACAAAACAAATCTTCTTAAGATTTATTATCTGACTCCATGAAAAACAATAATTTTTACTAATAATTAAATGATCTAATAATTAATCCAATTTTTGTTAAATTTTTTTCAAAACAAATTTTTGCAATTTAATTTAATCATTACTTAAAATTTCTAAATTTTTGAATTAGAAAATATTTTAGGTAAGAAAGAAACGTATAAAATTACTTAAAGTAGCATATTTTTTGAGTTTTCTTTATTGTATTCCACATTTTTATTACGATAACATCGATTTAGCATTTTAAATTTAAAAATTCAACAATAAATTTGAAGAAAAAATTAAAAATTATTTTTTGGTTCATTTTTTCTACAGAGAAATATTACAAAAAGAATGTTCCTTGTTGGAAATTCCCGCACCCATTCATATTTGCGGTGATATTCACGGACAATTTGTGGATCTCTTACGAATTTTTCGGCAATGTGGTCGGCCACCCTATGAGGTCAATAGATGGAAAGCTTTTTTTCTGTTATTAAAGATTAATTTTAATTAATTATTCTATTTGCAAAACGGAACATTGAAAATTTTATTTTTGTTGATTGCATTAGTTTGAAGTAGCATTAATAACAAAAATTTTGCATTTATTTCAGGAAAACATTAAACGATGCAATTTGCATATTTTTTAATTCATTTCTGTTATTCAATTAAAATATATTACAGCGATATCTTTTTATGGGTGATTATGTTGATCGAGGTCCAAATAGTTTGGAAGTAATAAGTTTGCTATTACTTTTGAAAATTCGCTTTCCGGCAAAAATTTTCCTATTACGAGGAAATCACGAATGTTCATTCATAAATCAGGCTTACGGTTTTCGAGAAGAATTAGAGGAACGATTCCAGAATGGTGATTTATTATGGGTCAAATTTCAGGTATAAAATTAGTATTAAAAAAAGTTTGATTAATTTTATGAATTTAAAATTAATAATTGCTATTATTTTAATAAATATGAAAATTTCAGGATTTATTTAATTGGTTACCATTTGCGGCATGTGTTGGCAAACGTATACTTTGCATGCATGGTGGCTTATCACCTAAAATGACAAATCTTGATGTTTTACGACATTTAAAAAGGCCAGTGGATCCGATTGATGATAGTATAGAAGTTGATTTGTTATGGTATGTTATATAAATACAATAATTCATGTAGAATTATAATTAAATGATTGCTGATAATTATGATTATTATCTGATTTCTATTCATAGAAATGTAAATTTTAGGTCTGACCCAGATGCTCAAATGTCAAATGGGCCGAATGATCCAAATTTTGTGCCATCATTACGAGGTATTTCGCATCATTTCAATCAAAGCGCAGTATTAGCAATTTGTCAACAATGTGAATTGGATTTTATTGTACGCGCTCATCAAGTTGTACAGGTAAGCAAGTGTTGTAAAAAAAATTAACTATGTTATATTTTAGACTCCAATATTTCCGTATAATGTATTGATTACAATGTTTATCATTTAGATAATCATTTATGTATAAACTAATTGTATATAAATCTTTTAACTGTGTAAAACTTGTTTTAAATTAAAATGCATTTTTCTCATGAAAAAAAATTTTCGAAATAAATTTATTAATAAAATAATTATTGTTAGTATTCTTCAAATGTATTATTAGCAATTATAATCTAACTAAAATTAAAATATCTTCCTTAAAACATTCTTTTTTTAGGATAGTTAAGAATTTCTTTCTTTTTTCTTGCTAATTTCTTAGCTAAAATAGATTATGAAGAATTTTGCTAATCGATAGAATATGAAATATTATAGAATATTACTTTTTCCTTTTGTTCTCTTTTATTTCAGGATGGTTATGAATTTTTTGCTGGTCGCCATATGATTACCATTTTTTCGGCTCCAAATTACTGCGGTAAATTCAACAATTGTGGTGCAATATTAGCAATTGATGAAGAATTACGATGCTCATTCGTTACATTAACACCAAGTAAATATCGGTTAAAGATACGAGGAAATAAACAAGAAGAAGTGGACATTGATGATGCAATAAATGAGTATGATGACAAAATATAATTTCCCCTTCTTTTCTTTTCCGTTTGTGATAATTTTGGAAGTTTTATGCGTCTATTTTGTCATTAATATTATCATCATTAATTTGTCATTATCATTTGTTACAGAAAAAAAGAACATTATTATCAATGTATGGTTATAAAATAAATCAATTTTTAATTTACGATATAAAGCAAATAAATTGTTATCAGTTCGTTTATTATCGATTTTTAAATTTATTTGTAAATTAAATATTTGAAAGTTTTACATATCTGATATACTAAAAATGGAATAGAAATTTTTTAAAATAATTCAACAATTTCAAAATGATTTTTTTTCGCTCTAAAAAAGCATATCACAATGATGTTGGTTTAAATCTGGCCAAGAACATATTGCTATCACCACCAAGTAAGATAGTGCCATCGTCAAGTTCCACTGCCTATAATAAAAAAGAAAAAAGGAAATTGCAATTGATATTCTTTTTCTTTGTTTTAACTATCACTAGTAATTCGGAATAGAATAAGAAATTTTGCATATGTCTTATACGGATATGTAGAATATAAAATAATGATAATATGTTAATTAATAAACAAAGTTAATCAATATACGAAAGAAACTGCTACCTGTGAAATTGAACTTATAGTTAAACCACCAGGATCATGGAAACTTCGCATAATGGTACCATTAGTTGGATCAATAAGCAATAGCAAACCATATTTGGGTAAAAAATAATCAAGGATTGCCATAAATACATGACTTTTTACGATCTATAATAACATGTCAATATCCGTAGAAAATATTGCCATAATATTTTCCAATGGGATCCATATATCCATGTTTAATATTCTAACAGATACTATGTACAGCATCCATGTGCAATATTTTAACAGATACTATCCGTGTATCTATCCACGCAAGCTTTTAATATAAATTTTTCCTATAGAATAACAGAAATTTCACAATTATCGTTAGTAAAACAAAAAGAAAAGCTCTGCGAATAATTTCCAACGAAGTATAAATATTAATTAATAGAATGTTTCTAAAAGGAATTTTGAATTTTTGACCATTTATTAAATTTAAATTATAAAACGGAATAAAATAAGAAAACCATTGCAATGATATCTCTAAGAAAAGGTCTTTCAGTAATCCAAGAATCATCGTCTAAACGAGCTTGGCCAAGTGGTACCCATAACATCCCATTATTTGCTGTTCGAATATTATCCGGATATCCGGGTAAATTACTCGCTACAATTGTGTATTTTTGATATTTATAATTGAAACAATGCCTAAAAATGAATTTCATTAAGTTTTTTATCATTCTCTATTTGAAAAGAAAAAGATATGATAATTTCAACAGTGTTAACTTATTAAAAGAAGATGAAAAATTAAAATGTTTATAATTAAATTAATATTCAATGATTGTAAATACGAAAAAAAGGAAATATTATCATTAATCTTATCATTCTTCTATCAATTTGATCGAAGGGAAATTCACTTAAGTATTCGAAGATTGCCCATTTCGGAGAAAAATACGCATTTTCCAGTCTTATCAAATTCTACACCATTCGGATAATATAAACGATCGATCAATACACGAAGTACACCTGTATGCATATTATAATGCAATAATCTAAATAGAAATATGATTAAAATAAAATTTCACAAAAATTTGATTTCAAATCTTCACCTAATTTAGGCTAAGAAATTTATACTTTTTCAAGAAATTATTATTTAATATTTAAATAATTGAACTCAGACAAAATTATAGATTAAATCTTGGATTTAAATTGAATTCAAGAAAATGTTTGATCTATTGCTAGTGCTCAGATAAATGATCTAAATTGAGTTGTAAGTTTATTGAATTTAAATTTGAATTGAAATAGCAAACTTACCTTCCATCTGGTTTATGTTCAGCCATTGCATAAAAAAAATCACGATCACCAAAACGATGAGATGGTTCAGTGAAAACAATGTGATGTCCATCTTGGCTGATATCGAAATCATTAAAATGAACAACTGGCCAAGACATGCCACGTGATATCTTGGTTCCAGATTTCAGAATTTGTCTTATCGTCTCTAAAACTGCATACACATGTGAACAACATAAATATTTCTTTGATTTTGGAAAATTTCTAATTTAAAAATCTCTAATTTTTTATCTAATTAAAACAATGAATAAAAGAAAGATACGTAATCATTTGTAGTATTAGAACAAAAGAAAAAAATTAAATGAGTTTGCAATAAAAACTATGTTGAAATTTGAAGAATTACTAGAAAAGAAAGTAATGAACGAGTAATTTAAAATTAATCAAATTTAAAATTTTTTTAGAAATCGCTAAAATTCGAAAAATATCGATTAACATTCATTATATTTTGTTTATTAAAAGTATCATAAATGTTGCCGACTTCCGTTTCTATTGACTTATGATATTGCTATTAACTGATCCGGAAAATTTTATCATTAAACAAAATAATTGAAGATAGTGGTAAAATATTCATCCTGCCAATCTTCTAATATAGTAATGGTTTTTCTTTTTCTTTTTTAAAGAATATTTTATACCATTTTGAATGTTTGCTTCAAATAATCCGTGATAAGCATCAGCAATAAGTAATAAATCCGGATTTTTTCGGTTGAATCGTATTCCTAAAGGACGGCCACATTCCGGCAATGAATGATAGCTTCCATCACATAGTCTATCTTCGTATTTCGCTCTTATAAATAATTTGAAATTTTTCACCAAATTCGCCTAATAATGATAATATCTTAATTAGTCATAAATTAAGCTAAAAATATACCTTACCTTAAAAAAAATTATATACTTCTATGTAAAATTAAGTATTAGCAATAAGATTTCCGGATTAAAATTCGGATTTCTTGATTATAAATTTAATAATTTATGTGATAAGTAATACTTAATTTTACTTTGTAATGCCATATAGGAAATCATTCTTCACTATGCGAAAAACCGTACGATATAAAACTGTCCAGTATGTAAGTGTGTGTAAAAGATTTATCAAAATTTAATAAAATTTCAACGATTTTCAAATATGCTGACGAAAAACTACGTCATATGTATACTGAAAGCAGATGTACAAAGAAGCCAGCCATAACAGACAGCAAGTCATTCGTCGTATATTTGTTGTTTGCTTAGATTGCCATTGCATAATACTAATCAACTAACAAATGATATTATCTCCAACTAATGCTTATAGGTCCTAAGTGAAAAAGCCTTTTAAAATACAAGTCTGAAAATAAGTCGGAAACTTTTTCCAAAAGTGCAGTAGGACCAAGAGAAAAACAAGAGAAGAATTTTTTAATTCGAAGCTCCCACGCATCCATTCCTCTATTAAAATTGGAATATATCAAAGAATTAGGCACTTTATAATGGAAGCAAAAATATCAAACTATGCTTCTTACACTTTTAAATTCATCAATTACAATTGCAGCAATGAAACCGGTTTTAAGTCCGACATATATTGTTTTACTTTCTTTATGTATTGCAATTGATTCAGGCCCATTAATTTCATTTAGCAATAATATTTCTGCATATGTTAATTCTTTGTTCGGTTTTAAGGCACCCGTAAGAATCGGCGGTTTTGGAAGTCTAAAATTAAAATTTAATTTAACAATTTAATATTTCTATAAGTTCAAAGGAAAAGAAAGAGAAAAGCTTTGCTTGAACATTTCCAAAAAACATAATTAGCGGAATGTTATAAAAGTTATAATATTTTCTTATTTTAATTTTTTCAATCAAAATTTTGTTAATTAATGTGGATAGATTTGATATGAAAAAAAATTGAAAAATATTATTATCGGAATGACAAAATTATTCCTAATTTTGAATTTCAAACATTGAAAATAATATTTCGCATATTTATTTATGTTTATTAAATGATTTAATTTTGATATAATTCTTCGAAATGATTTTTGATAATGACAACTTGTTTTTTTCATTCGTTGATATGTGATTATTTTTATGTGATAAAATTTATTGAACATATTAAAATTGCCGAAAAATATAGTAATCGAAATGATTTCTGATAATGATAAACTTTTCAAATTTTAAAGTTATAGAAAAAGAAAAATAGATTAATACAAAATAAAATTTTCAATCCTACCTGTATTTTGTAGATTGAATAGGTCCATTTAAAACATAATAGTGTAATAATATTGCCGAAACGATCGAAATAAAAAAACCGATGAAGTACAAGCAAAAGTATTGACAACTAAAGATATTATTATTATTATTATTATTATTATTATTATTATCACTCATTAATTGCTAACAATATTAATCATTAATTGTTTTTATTACCATTTATTCATTATTTCAACACAGCAGTACTATTTGAACAAATATTTTAAATTTTAAATTAACATCCTAATAATCACAAGATTTATTTACAATATGAAAAGAAATTATAAAAATATTCATAATTTAATATTTTTGGAATTTTGAAATTGAGAGTTTTAAAAGTTTATTACGTTGAAAATTGATTAATTAATTTGTTGAAAATTACATACGTTGAAAATTGTCGTATTTTCTTAGTTTTTGGTAAATACATTACGGTTGATAATGATGGATCTTCTCCCAACACGCCATGACGCAATCTATTTTGATTAAGTCGATTTATTTTACGCTTTACCATTTAATGGTTATTCAACTTCCATACTATAATTATTCCCAATTAATATTGTATAATATAATAAAAATAAGATAAAGAATGAAATAGAAATTGTATAATTTTTAAAACAAATAAAAGTAAAGTAATAAACTTAATTCATATTATTGCTTTGTTAGAAATATGATAAATTAATTGGAGAGAGAAGGAAATAATTATGTGGAAGAAATCAGATAAAATGAGACTGATAGATCAAATCTAAATCGAATATTCTAGGATATTTTAATATTAACTGCATTTACTACTATTGACATTAATAATAGAAAATGATATGTCATAAATTAGTATTATTATTATTGATAATCGAAAGTAATATATTATAAAATAGCAAAAGTTAATGGAATAAAATGATCGATGAAATAAGCCAAATTGTTGCTAAATTATATTCAAATTAGCTGAATGCATAAATTTTAAATTGGCTAAATAAATGTTTGCCAACTTTATTTTATTGTTTAGAATTGTTACTAAAAAAAGCTTAAGAAAATTTGAACTAATATTTATTGATCGTAGTGAGTTCTTTCATTTTTTTGTAATTGTTTGTTTTCTTAGATTTATTTATTATATTGTTTTAATAAATTAGACTTCTAAAGTTATAAGTAAAATTCTCGCACAACAAAACATTTTATTATATTACTTAATTTAGCTATTGCATATAAACTAATTTTGTTTATATAATAGTGATATAAATGATATAAGCTAATTTATGTAAATCAAATGCAATCATCATAACTTAGATAAATATATAATTTAATGATAATATATGAGATTATAGTTTATAAGATGGCATAATGATAATGATGAAATTAAATCATTCATTAATTCAATCTTTTTAAATCGAGTAATTACCTATAAATTAGGAAAATGACTGAATTAAATATTCTTTCTTTGATTTTTCTTTTCACACTATTTTTTCCTACAAAAATTTTCATGAATAATTTAGGGAATATATAATTTTAATATAAATTTTGATTGTTTTTATTTATTTTAAAAGAATGATTATATCAGTGCGATGTGATAAACACGATACGATGATAATAGTATTATTTTTGTTAAATATTTATTTCATAGTTTAAAGTTTATTCTTTCTTCTCTTATTGATTGCATTTCTTTTCACATGAAAAATTCCAAACGTTATTAGTTAAAAATGTATGAGCTGCCATTTGACTATTACGTATTGCATTACATAGTGTTATTACGTTTATAAACAATGAATAACTTAAAACTCTATTTACAATTGCTGTATATTATAATAATAAATCATTCCAATGTTGAAATCTTATAATTAATGTATTACTGGAAATAATTGACATATTCGAAAGTTTGAAAATATGTATTTATGAATATTTCATGTTAATTAAACGCCGTACCTTCTCAATATGTTTATGGCAATACTAATGGCAATCTATAAACTTGCACAATTTATTGTTCTCATATCCTTGTGATATATTTTGGGTTATTTCATCATTTTATTCAAAAAGAGAGTAAACTAAGTGTTGTTCTTAATTGTCGCATATTTCCACACTGATGAATGAACTGAGTGTTCTTGAATGTCATATACATCCTATATGATAATCGGATATCTTATGCAAGAATATATGGTATGTTAATTAAATTAGCGTTTCGATTGAAAGTCAATTGTTATCATAAATGATCTCGATATTGTTAATTCCATAATTACACCAATTTTAGAGGAATATAACTATTAATTGAATGGTGATTTTCATAAAATAAAGTAAATTTAATTTGATGAAGTTATGAAAACAATTAACGTCCAATGAAGTTTGACAAAAACATTTATTAAGAAAAAGCCAGAAAAACGGTGATGATTTTAGGCTTAGATTTATTTATTGATTATTTTAAGGTTAAAATTTTGGAGAATTTTATTGATTATACAATAGCAACTATTGATACTTAAACACATTGCACACTATGTTAAACTATCATTTGTTATGAAATTGTTTCGATTATTTCTCTTTTTTGACAAACTATTTTAGACAAATTATTAATATTAATAATGGAACGAAATTTCTTTATTCCTATTTGTCGAAAACTAGAAATTACATGATAAATTTTACAATCAAGACATGTTGAAAAATAGTCACCCCTGATGTGCAACTCTGCAGCGAGTGGGGTTTGAACCCACGAGGACTTAGCGTCCATTGGATCTTAAGTCCAACGCCTTAACCACTCGGCCATCGCTGCCCCTCTAACGGGCTTGATTATCTTATAGGTAAATCTGTAACATTACTATATGATTAATATTGCTACGGCTCGAAGGGTTAAAAGTCTTATAGTTCGTCTCTGTCTGTAAAAAGTAGTAGCAGTTCATTTTTTCTGATAAAAGGAGAAAAAGTGTTGAAAAAGCAAGAAATACCAATCAATAATTATCTTCATGTAGCTGAAAATGAGAATCGATATGACAATCGTTTTTAGATTCGCATTATTTTCATATGCAGGAAATAACTAATCCTTATTAATAGAGAATATACAAATTATTAACACTTGTATATTCTTAGTGCATTGAAAAGTCCACAAATTGCAAAATTTCAGCTTGGAAGTTTATAATTACTTGAACTGATGTCATCGATAGTCTAATTTGTGCAATGACCAGAAAAATTAAGTAATTAACAAATGAAGAATATCAACAACAAAATCAGTTATCGAAATTTGTCCTGTGATAATTATTGTACAAGTTGTTTTAGCATGAGTAAAAACTTGTCACGAAATTTTTTAAGGGATACTTGTACTTTAAGCACAGTTCAATTCGAATTTAATTTGAAAACAATTACTTAAAAGCGTGAGATTATCCTTAAAGTTTAACATAATTTGGCAATAACTATTTAAAATTATACAGTTCTCTTCTTAAATTCGATCACCGCGTGCTCGTCAATGGTGTAATGATCATCATGATTACTTTCCAAGCAAGGGTTCGATTTCCCCTAACGCACGTGGAACTTTAGCCATCGAGGTGTCCGCTCTGAGCGTTCGTTTTGCTGCAAAAAACATGTTGCAATTCCTGGTTGCCGTTTGTCAGTATGCCATATGATTCAACTGTAACGCACACCATATTATTGTATATTTATTAGGATATGATCTGATGTGGCTTTTGAATTCAAATTTCCTGGCGCCACAGTGATAAAGATTAAATTATTTGATAAAAAGGAGTAATTTGATGATTAACGGTGGAACTGTTTAAGATTTTGTTACCACTTTCATATCTGGTTGTTTTAATGTAGTTGTGTGACACATTGAACGACTGGATGTTTTTATCGACCCTGAGAAGGAAGTTCCAAATTAAATTATGAATATTTCAAAAACGAAGATAGCTTTTCTTATTCCAGGAAGACAACTATATTTTATTCAGAACTACCATCTTTGAGCCCAGGAAGTTTCAAGTGCTTAAAAAATGATTTTTGACATTATCGTTTTCATGAGACAATACTCCTCTGAATATGAAGAAATATCAAAGATTTCCATATCAAAGATTATCAAAAAGGTTATTATAACAGCGACATTTTCATTTCATTACTAAACCGTCCAAAATTGACGAAACAACCCCACCGAATCGACAATAAAGCATCCTCTCTTCAAGGAAGTCATTTCATATGGAGGCTTTTTTATGGTTCGTAGCATGGATTGTTGATGCAATTTTCTTGCAATAATTGAAATTGTTAATCCTTTCTCTGGCAATGTGTCTGGAGGATTGTTGGGAAGTTGTGAGGTGTTAAGGTTCTTGTTAGTAAAGAATTGAAGAAGTTTGCAAATAGTCGTTTATAAATTTTCGGTTGAAGTAAAAAATTCGCAAGCACAAGAAAAACTGTTTGATTAAAAATTGGAAGGGATTAATTAATTGTGAAAATAATTTGTGAGCAATGAAAAATGTCAATTGTCATTATTTTTGATGTAATTAGTTTTGTAGATATGGAGTAGAAAATTTTTTTAGAAACATTATTTTATGTGAACAGTATTATTCGATTCTTAGTTTGCTTTCTTTTATTCATTAACTGTAGCATGATAGTTCTTTTCTATGGTGATATCTGCGTCAGTTATCAAAAGATATTCTGGAAAATTCTGAACAATATTAGAAATGTACATAATATTCAGGTCCACAACTTATTCCTTTCAAAAATTTGTGATAGATATCGTTGTAATGTACTGAGGAAACTTCATTGTACATTTTAAGTTAGAGTTGAACACGACTTGTATCCAAATAATAAGGGAGTGTATATTGTGAAAATTACTATGACAAGTGGTAGAACTTTTTTTGAAATTTCAATATTAAGTTTTTAGTGGCAGAAACAAGTGACAGAAATAAACATAATTTGATTTATTCTTATTTATTGATGTCTACATCTAAGAAACGTCGGAAGTGCCATAGCAAATTCAAAAGTGACAGTGTCGACGAGGAAAATTCGAGGTGAGTTGCTGTACCGAAACTTCACTGTCAGTAGATTACTTGTATGTTTTCGCAACAATTTCATTTAATGGTTTTTGAAGTTTCATTCAAATATGTGACTTAGAAAACTTCGAAGTAATGGTAGTGTTATGATTTAATTTCTTTTCTTAGTTTATTGCATTCATTTGAAATCGCCAAGCCACACATAATTAAATATTTATTTAATCATTTATGCATTCAAATTACTTGGAACATGCAAACTACTAAGATTGAAAATTTATTGCAAAATGATTACATTTTTCATCTGTCTGCTGCGATAGTCACAAACTTTGAGTTTTTTTTAACGGTGTGGCAAAAAAATCTAGCATGATAGCAATTTCTATTTTGACACAAATTCAAATTTTCTGTCTTTAAAAATTTTCGATCTTTTAGTTTTAGAAAATATTAATTACTTTCTACTTTGGAATAATGCTGCTATATTTTAGATACGAATGCAGTATCTGTTATAAAGAAGCAGTGAATCCGGTTGTCCTTAGCTGTGGCCATTTTTATTGCTGGGAATGTATTGATGAGTGGTTGAATAAGTACACACGCAGTAAGAAACAATGTCCCATCTGCAAAAGGCGTGTACGAGACGGTGACGTATGTTTGCATGGTTCTTTATAAATGTGATAAAATATATCATTGAATGCAAGATCGTCACAGTGAGCTGTGTAATGAACTTATTATAATTTAGGTGTAGTACTGTCTGACAAAAGTGGCAGCCGGAGTGAACGTTCTGTTGTTTTTGAACGTGAAAATTGTTTCCAAAAAACTATTGCAGTAGATTGCATGGGAATTTTATTTTATGAGAAAATGAAGACTAAACTTTGTAATCTCTTTAAATCTGGTACTATATCTTCAGAGCATTTTCCATTTGCTGGATCGTTGTGTATCTCATGTGCTTTATTCACTTATTCATATAAGATTTGTTTAGAAGTCCCCAAATTCTCTCAGAACCCGGAGTATATCTCGCTTTCCAGACTTTGAATACTTTGTTCGTTTATTGTTTACTTTAAGCAATAAAACAGTATTTCCAGTTAAAATACAGCTAGATCTCTCTGTAGCTATTTCGATTTCTTTAAAAATTAATTTTTTTAAGGTTATTCCGATTTATGGTAAAGGGATAATAAGCCGTTGTGAAAATCCGAGACCCGCAGCACCTGCACAAAATCGTGAAGTTAGTTATTTTTCGACAGAAATGGTTCAAAAAATAATTAATTTGCATATTTTTATGAGCAAGTGATCCAACACATGTGTAACAGGGAACTGAACCTATTTTTAATTTGTTTCACATGGTACTTTAAAAACTAAATAGTTTTGTATTTATACTTAAAAATTCTGTTTATTACGAACTTCTAATTCCAGAATCAAAAGGGTATGAAAAAATGCCGAAAAATCGGAATTATATCGGTACTGAGCTGATGGGGTGAGCCCATATGCCTGTATGTGTGCATGGATATGTGCGATGTGTGCAGTTAGTTTTGTCATCATGACATTAATGGAACTCTTTATTTAATAAGTCCTTAATGTAATTCAAGGATGACAAAGACGAACCACATTTGTCGGTTGAAGATAGCAGTTGGACAAATTTCTTCAAACTAGGCACTGTTTTTATTGGCTTGATTGTTGCATTCATTTTCGGCAGGCAGACAGCAAAAAGGTAACTTTAAAATTTCCGAATAACTTTTAAGATTTATTGGTTTGATCATTTTCGACATTTGTCGTGTTCAGATTGTTTCCATTGCCATCGCTATCTTTAGATTTTCATATTTTACGACATTGTCGTAATTGTTGATGCACGTTTTACTGAAAATCTCATATTAAATTTCTGATTATTAAGATACATTATGACGGGGAATAACTTCAGAAAATTTATTGCACTAATAGTGTCTGATTCCTGTATAATAATATTTTTTTTTTCTTGGTAGAAATAAAGACTATTGTTTTGTTTAATTCTTTGAATTATAGGGCACGCAAAAATTAATTTGGCGAGCACGAAATTTGATCTGATCTGATTTGATTTGATCTGATTTATTGCATTTGCTTCCAGTAAATTCTTAAATTGCATATAAAATCTATAAATTTTGAAATTGCACGAGTTTCAAAGCCGGTAAATACATCCTTTGTACTTATTTGATTGTTCATATTTAAATCAAAAATTTATTAGTCATGGTAGTGTTCTTTATTCATTGTTTCAAATACTTTGTAATTCAAGATATTGAAATGCTTATCGTCTGTATATTGCTCTCTATATGTGTTTTCATTTAATCGTGTAAAATAAATATTTCTTTCAATGACTGAAGCAGTTAATATTCGGTATAAAAGGGCGACCGTGCAAAATATAAATAGAAATAACGATGTTTGCTGAATTCAGGAGGAAATACTCGATGGAATAGGTTTCGTGCGTAATAGATTGCTCTCAAGCGTTTTCATAGATATAAATCTTCCTTACACAGCAATGTAATACATTTTTCAGGGAATTTTGGACAGTTGTAAGCAGTAAATATTATATATATATATATAGCTCTTGTGATGATTCTTTTGGATAAATGTTTGGAATCTGTATTGGATTGTTATGTATGGGAACACTGTGATAATCAGAGAAAGTATGCAATTGATGGTAGTGCTGGATTTTTAATTGGTTCAAAGATGGAAGAGGATTTTCATGTGGCGCACATTGCAATGTGTGCACATCCTGATACCATGCAAGATGGGGTATCATTTTTCTAAAGAGCTCTACAACTAAACTTATCATTCACAAGACTTATTATGATTGTTATTCACGATTGCTTTTTTTCTGATGTATTCATGACTTTTCTTTACCGATTCTGTGAGCACTTCGAAATGAAATCTAATGTTATCATGTGAAATGATATTAGAGACGTACGTTAGGAAGAATCTGTTGACGATTTTTTATCGTTGAATTAAGTATTTTTAAAGGAGAAATGAATTTTACAGGCTGGTGATATTCATTCGAAATCAGTAGATGCTGATTGGATTGCTGATACTGGATCACGTGTTTTAAGGTTTTTGCCTGGAGGCACCATGATAGTTGGTAAATATTTTTGCTGATGTATTGAACAAATATAAGAAATTAACTAGCAACTTAGCTGAATTTAAAATGATTGCTATTTCATTATTAAATAAATATCCTCTTATCAGTTAATTTCTCATCTTGGGCTACATTAATTTGCTATATGTTTTGCATTTACTGGTATTTACTCAATGCTTGATTTGAAAATAGATATGCTATATGGTCAAATCTAAGTCTGCAATTTATCATTTTAGGTTTGCTGTGGTTAGCTGATTCAAAAACATCGCTGCAGACAGCACAAGTTCGTGGTATGCTTGTTCGAGCACTTTCCCAGATAGCAATCCGTCATAATGCACTCAGTTCTCTGAACATCACACCTGTTGACAATTGTTTGGTTTGTTCCTTTTTTCCTTACTATTTGAAGTTGGTTTAGTCATTATTAAAATTAAAAAAATATCTTGTGAAATTTGTATAATAGAATTATAAACTTCAGGCATTAGTTGGAATTGAAACACCACTGGGGAAGCCGTTTGGGTGCATTGTCGATTGCAGTCGAAAAGGTGCTGCTGGCTCACAAACTAAAGTGAGCTTTAGTCAGGTATCTACAGTTTTCATATTTGATTTTTAATTGTAACTAGTTTTCGCATACCATTTTCTCATTAATTTTTTAAATGAAAATATACTTAATCATTTAATTGGTGCAATATCATTGGTGCTTGTGAACAGCAAGTGAGATACCAGTAGTTTAATTAATCTTCATTTAGATATTACTCTTAAGTTAAATCAATGTTCAAATGATATGTATTTCGGATTTTATATCTTAGATAATATTTGTATAGTACCATAATATAGTTTATCAGTGACACAGTAAAACAAGTTATAGCTAATTATATGCTACTTATTGCAGTTGGAATGGGTACGCTTGGAATCATCTGCTGCTTTTCGATTATCAGAACCATTGACTGATGGTATTTGGGATTTTCATAAGCAATTCACAAGTGCGATACATGAGTGGGCTGAACATGTAAATGTTTTATCATCGTTTGATTGTGTTTTTATCAAAACCTCCAACTTTTACAGTTTGAAAAAAGATAGGGATGGTTTTGTGACTGTAAGTTTTGAACTTCTATATTTGAAAGATTGGTTGTTATTATGATCTCTTGAAAGCTGAAAGAATTGATAACCTTATTTTAGCTTTTGAAAACAGATATAGCATTAGTGAACGGCTTGTCACGATCACGAGATGAATTTCTGAGACCTCGTGATCGGAAAAATCGAGGCCCGGCTACGTTTGATATTGAAATATTTTTAAATGCCGGTGCGTTTCATCAAATATTCAAATAATTTATGCTGACATATTTCTCTCTTGTATAAAATAACTGCGCATTATTTCCCTACAAAATTTGCCTCATTCTTTTCATTCATTAAAATAAGATATTTCAAATTCTGATAATTCTGTAAAAAATAATGAAAGGAGATAGAGATTAATGTGGTTGGAATTTGAAACTTAGTAGAATCATGACACGAATTATTTACTATTACATAGCAATTTAACTAAAAAAGTTGTTGAATGGCACGAGATCTATGTTGCATTTTGATAAACAAAATGATTATGATAAATTAAATTCTAGGCGAAAAAGATAATTTGGATAACGAAAACATATCTTCATTCTGTACCATTGATTTGATTGTGGATACTATTGCGAAGGCAGCAGTGCCCAGTAAAGCTACCGTTGGTCAGGCAGTTGATGCTGTTAAGGAACATATAATACGATCGTTATGTAGTAGAGCAGGTAACTTGCTGCTTATCGTATATAGCAAATAATAGCTGAGAAATTTTTGAATGCTTTGAAATCTTTTTGTTTAATCCTTAGAATTCTTTTGTTTTTTGGTAATGTAAATGCAACAGATTGTTAAATTTCTTGATATATTGAAAATTGATTTTCAGTAGAATTTCATAATAATTAAGTAAATAATTATTTGCTTCAATCCACCTGCAAATAAGCCTGTCAGTTGTTTCAATATGTAATTTATGCATATTTCAAAGAACTTCATTACGAAAGTACGGATGTGATCGAAGATGAACCGAAGGATCGTTTAGCTGTACATCAGTTACCTCGTGCTGCTTATGTGTCTTTACCCAGTCAGCGGGCAATCGTTTTTACGGATTATCTATTTGAAAGTGATACGGCGAATGATGCACAGCAGTCTTTCGCAGAATTTTTGACTCTCAAAGTTCCTAAGGGTAAGCAATATTTTTGATGGGTTATTTCTCAGAGTTTTAAAGTTAATTCTTTTTATTTTGACAAAAAATATAAAATTCTTCACGACTCTAAGATATGATGGCTTTTTGTGGGCAAACGTTACTTCAAATGTTTATGCTACATACATATGTTTTGATTTTTTCAGTAATAGTTCTATTTCCTTCACGGTCTATTAGCTTCTTGAATTAAATTTAATCACAGAGCATCAAAATGAGTGATAAAAATATTTAGATGACATTGATGTAAGTAGTGAACGTCATTTGGACGGAAACGATTTATTGAGCATGTTGAATGAAGATAGGCTTAGCCGCGTGGAACAATCCAGTTCATCGACATCGAGCCTAAGTTCCGTTATATTGCCTCCAATATGTAAAACTGGTGAAGTAACTTCGATAAATTACTATTTCCTTATTGCAATACTTGTTGCTTTGTTATCGTTTGTTCTCTATTTTTTGATGAAAACGTTATCTTCCTGATTCTTTAAATAGTTCTTTAAAACTATATCATTTAAATGTAAACCACTATTTCCTTCTATGAAATTCTCCATAAACTTGGTTATAGCTGATCAAATGTAAATTACCCTTAACTAATTGGTATTTGGCTTTAAAAAAAAAAAATTATTGGCAAGGTTAAAAGCAAAAAGTTGGTTCCTTAAAAATTTTTTTACCTGACTTTGCTTTTTTTCTGCTAGGTTTTTCATATTCAAATTTTAATTTGGATTTGATTATTAATAATCATATTATATTAATTCGATTTTAAGTATTAATAGTCATATTAATTTGAGTTTGATCTTGGTATGGCAATATTGTCATAGTTTATTTATCTAATCAAGATAAAAATTTTTTCACTTTTTATTAACTTTAACTCTAGAGCTTTACCGGTAGCATCACGATAATATGAGCAGGATAGCAATATGATTTATAAAAAAACTGGAGGAGCTGCTTATCTTTAAGTATAATTGGAATATTGATAAGATTAACTTTATATGGCGAAAAGATGATCGCTTGTCCAAATAAAACTTTTTCAACTGCACATATTTAAATTCACTTTATGACTCTAACAGGTTATCAACAATGTTTACTCTATTTTTGCTGATCATTCAGTTTTAGTTTTTTTGCTGTATAACCTCTTAAATAGCGTTTGCATCATATTTCTGCATTTCCTTTTTCGAACCACAAATCTAAATATTGCGCATTGTTTCTTTTTTCATTTTCTTTGAAAAGATATTTTTGATAATTTATTCAGAATGAAAATTTATTCATTTATTCATAATTTATTCATAGTTTGATAATTTATTCAGAATGAAAAGCGCTTGCTTTTTTTCTGACAAATTTTTTAAATTGTTTTTGATGAGATAGTAAAATGTCCCAGTTTATCTTTCTTTTTTTTCATTAAAATATGGATAAAAAACTATTTTTGCATTTTTTATTGAATATACAGTTGTTGTTAATCAATATTATATACGTCCTTGATAATTAATCAATTACTCCTATTTCAAATGATTTTTTTTTTATTTCAATATTTAAGTAGGAGATATAATTTTATTTCAAATCTCTCTATATCACAGGAGTGACTTTGTTTTCATGATAGCGGCAAGCATTCACTTCAAACTTTATATTGTAATGTAGCAGTGGATAAGTATGGTCATTCTTATTACTAATTTCACCTGCTTTGTTATTTAAACATCTTTGAAGCGTAACTTGAATTTTTGATTCAAATTATTAGAGGATTTTGAATTGGTTAGATTAGCATTCAAATTGGCATTCAAAACATCGAAAACTGTTTACTCTGCCTTTCTGTAATTGTTTCAAACTATTTCGTTTCAGGTTACTTCAGACTGGATTAAGACCATGATGAAAAAATGACATTTGGTAGGGCTCGAGTATTCGGTATATTTCTAGTGATTATTGAAATGATTTTCTTTATTGATTAAAAAAATAATTAAATAGGGTTTTTTTCATTTGTATTTTAAAATCGAAGAATGAGTGAGTTATTTGATATGAATTAATTCGAAAGAAAGCAAATCCACACGAATTAACCATTCTGTCCTATTTGACAAATCAATTTTTTATAATTTCAATGATTCAATATTTAATATAGAACTTCAAACAAAATTAGTTATGACTTACTTCCAGGTTCTTTGCTTCAGCATTCGAAGGTTATACTACAGTATAGAGTATACAAATCAAGCTATGCTATTAATGATATGTTACGATTTAAAAACGACGAAGAAAATGAGCAAGAAAAAAAGGTACGATCAAAGTATGTATTCCGATCACGTTTACCAGTCCTCATCGAAAATGATCATTTCGATGCGCCATTCCAATACGAATACGACAAGATTTGTCGCGAATATTATGCTTGGGATTCGGAGATGAATGCTGTCAAAACTGTGTGGTTAGTGAATTTTGACTTCAATAACTGGAGGAGCTATTCTAATATTCTTTCTAAATTACTTTAACAAATCGATTATGCTTTTATTTACTTTCAGGGAAAAATTGAAACCACCACCACAGGAAAAAGTTGAAGAGAATGTGCTGCTAATTGGTAATCTGCGCTCGCTTCCTTGGGCTCCAGTAAATTGTTGCTAATTTCTGATCTTTTTTTCACTAGAAACAAACGATATATTTTATTGGGTATTTGAAAAAACGTGCTTTAGGATAAGTGGCTTTTCAAGTTCATTATTGCAGAATGAGTGGTGCATAGAGCGAGCATTTGATTGCTATCGGAATAGGCGAGACGTTATTCGGATTCATGTAAGCATTTGGAATTCTGTTAAAGTAGAAATTTTGTTTCACTAAAACTTTGCTTTCTTTAGCATGATCAATTAGCAGATTGAAGGAAGTGATGTAATGGCTGAAATAATATGACAGTTTTTGGGAAAATATAGTGTACTGGCTTTTTTCCTGAGAGCAATATCCGATCTAAATTTCTTCGACTGAATGATTGATCTTAGAAAAATGAGTAATGTATGTCCCCATTAATCCAATATTTGTTCTTTTTATTTTTTTCCAGTTAACCATAAAATATTTGGAAATGTTGAAAAGATTGCCTGATCTGCGAATTGGTGTTATGCTAGACATGGCTCGTCATATTCAGCAAAAGATTCTAATAGAAAGGACTCGAAAGTTGTTCGAACTAGTGTGCCAAACATATTATACTGTAAGTTTTAAATGCGCGGAAGTAGGCGTGCATCATATTTTTTTTTCTTGTGATCTACTAATTGAATTTGAGATCTTATCGGATGCCTTTTTATGAAAACTTTTTTTTCGAAATTATACACATTTCAGGGTGATTTGAAGAAGTTAGTAGAAAGTGATGAAAATGCTGTACCTATTGTGAAATATATGCATCGAGTCGAACAGTTTGAAGTTGAAAGGCGTGAGCTATTAAATATCACTGAACGAGATATTGTCACCGTTGCTCCAGGTCTTTATGGTCAGTTTCTCTATTTGATTTCGAAATGCTAACATCTTAAAGATATCACTTTTCTTAAGAAAGCATTTCGAATTTCTCGTAGTTTTTTTCACTTGAGAAAATTGTATATCATCTCATCGAGTATTTTCTAATTTGTATTCCAATTATTAATGTATGTACAAAGTTGCAAAGATAGAAATGTTGGGCTATCGCAGGTAGAAAAATAAAAATGTTTTCATTACTTTCAAGGTTGAGTGATAGTTAGGTATTTCATTTAATCTGAACTACTCGATCTGAAGATTTTATTTCTGTGCGAGAATGGCAATAGTAGTATTATGTCTGGACAGAACGGAACTTACAGCATCTTTTGAAAAATTTCAAGTAGCTCGAGAATATTGAAATTTTTTGTGTTTCATTCATTTATTTACGTGTTGTCTACTTATTAGCTTATTTAGCATGTTGTTTAAATTGTTTTGATGACATTTGAATTAACTATCACAAGTTACTAATTTTTTATTTCAAGCTTAAATGATATCTGAACATTCTGACTTTCAGGTTCCATTCAGGATTTCTTCCGGGTTTACTTAGCAAGTACTTATTCGTTATCAATTACGTGTTGTGCACTGTATCAGAAAAATATTCTGTATCGTGTAGTGAGTTTTCATTGCATTAAAAATACTACTCTTTCTCGAAGTTCATCCAGCACTTGGATTTCATTTATTTTTTTCTAATATTCAGAAAGTGATACATTACTGTTATTCTATCAGACGAATTTTATAGGCTGATGAAAAGTATAAATCAACGAAGAATCAGATTTCTATGCCGTATGAGTACTCGTACAATGTACCGCACCTCATATTCGGTAATTTTGATTATTGGTATTCACGAATGAGGAAGCGGTTCGAACTTCACGACCTTCACATTTTAGCTTTCCCAGTATTGCCTTGGTACAAAGATTTACCCGATACGCATGGAAAATTCTTCTCACCACAATATGAACGAATCCCATTATCCACAAGCATTTTTTTAAGGTAGTGATAACTTGTGAATAAAAAATTTGTTCATAAGCAATTATATTTTATATATTTCATTTGAATCTCACAAATTAGACAATTTTACTAAGTCTTCAGATGACTTCATTGTCATGACTTCAATGAATCGTACTTCATTTCTTATGTTTCTTTGTCGTATCTATCCTTTATGTATGGAGAAGAAATGGAAATACTTAGAGTAGCACAGGAAATATGAACCTTGTTTATTGTTTATTTACCTTGTTTATATCATCCGTGCAAATCATATTCAGCAGATTTAGAAGTCATCGAGATTCTACAAATAAGTTAATGAAATCATACAAAATTTTCTGATTACTTTTACTCGAATCAAAACTTTTTCGTTATTATGCTATTTTTTTAAAAATATTTAATGTTTTGTTTTTATTCTTTTTGTTGTGCTATTTAATTAAATGATGTTATGCATAAATTCTTTCACTGATATCCTTGTTTCTAACATTACAATTGAAATAATCTATCGCTAGCATTATCTACTTATCACAAAATATTCGTGGAAAATTTACTCATCAAAAAGAAAAAAAAAGAAAGTTGAATAGTAATAGAAATGAAGATATTGTCATACAATAATTACAGATAAATAAGATATCCACTTATTGTTCCCTTATCTTCTAATTAACTTGTTGTCATACATTATGACTTACCAATATTACCTTATCAGATTAATTATTTTTAACACGAAAGGGAGGAAGTGATGAAAAGTTATCATTCTATATGGTTTATAGTGATTCATTCTTATCATCTCCTTAAATTCTTCTTACTCATAACATTTAGCTCTGTTTTTTTGAACTTATGGTAATAATTTAATGATTTATTTTAATTTTTCATTTTTCACACTTTTACAAAGTTTTATTCTATAAAAATATCTGAATATATGGTAATTGAATACATTATTAATTGATTCATTAAAGAATTATTATTGGAATAATCTTTAATGATCGATCCATACTACTGTATTACTGTAATACCGTTATTTGTTTCATAATATAGAATTTCTTTTTGCAATAATTTTAATTTATTCATTGATAAAAATGCAACATAAATTTTCAGTTGACATATTTTCCAACAATAGTTTTGAAAAGTATTATTGAGAAATAATAGTGCAATGCGTAGTACGATTTAGTATCACTGATGATGCACAGATAAGGCCTGATTATCATCGATGAAAAATGAATTGAATTAAGAGAAATGTCGTAGAACCGGTGAGATGAAAGAAGATTTGTCGTAAATACAAAGAAAAGGAAGTAAAATGAATTGAAAAAAAATAATAGTCATAATTTTATGAAGGTGGATTATACATTTTCTTCCGCAAACTAAATAAGTGCTATTATAAAGAATATATTCTCTTCCTATCTTTTAAATTCATAACATTAAAAAAAGCCGAATTTATTTTAAGTACTTTTCGAAATTTTTCGCTATCAGTTAACAAATAATATTATTTCATTGATAAGTTTAGTTTGTTAGTAATCGTGTTCTTTCATAATAAATGATTTCTTTTAATTTATCAAAATTATCATATCAAATTGATAAAGTTTATCATTTTTATTGCTTGACGAATATTTTTGAATTTAATTTTCAACTCTCTACAATTAACGATTTATGATATTAACGTTGTTCATTACTGTGCGCATATGTTTCATGATTTATTGTTTAGATGTATGTAAATGTTAGTTATTTATCATTTATCATATCATTTAAAGGTATAGCAACTTTTGTAATTGGTATTTTACGCATAACTTTTGTAATTAGTATGTATAATTTTAGTGTATTAGTATGTTCATGATATTATTACTATGATAATTGTTATCGTAATAATTATTATAATATATATATATATGATTGTTATCGAATTTTTTGTTTCTTTATTTAATATTAGTTATTATCACAGTATTTTTATTAATAGAGTGAGTCAACAAGAAGTTATATTATCACAACTATTCATTCCTATACATCTTTATTATAATGATATTATTTTCAGAGTGAATGAAATATTTATGTTGAAAAGGGAATGAAAGGAATGAAGAGAAAATATGTGTGATTTAGATTATTAATATGTGATAGTATAATAATCTTTAAATTAGTAATTGCCGTTAATGTGTTTAGTTGTCCCATTTAGATCATTTCACTTCATTATATGAGGTCGTCATCACCGTATCCCTTATCTTTCTTTTCTTCTGATAATAATCAAAATTATCATCAACAGTCTTTCCTACGCGTATTACACTTATAATAGATTATCATGTCAATTTTATGGTATTTAATAATTCATATTAATGTTAACTAATTATTCCTATTTATTATTTAAAAAAAGAAAAAGAATAAATTTCCCTTATTTTACATTCATTTTGTAATAATTTATTTTTCTTATATTTTCAAAATTAACTATTAAATATTCTATGAATTATAAAATTTCAACCGATTAACATTTCTAATTAATCATTGTAATTATTGGAATAATCATTGTTTTTTTAAAGATAATATTATCATTATAATTATAATTCACCGAAACAATTATATAATAATTTATCACAAAAGAAATTTTTTATTGTAAATGTTTTTGTTTGGCTTTTCTTTTATTGAATCAATAAAGTATCATTGATTGATAAAAGTATAAAAATACCATTATCTCCCTGTCAATTTCTCTCTCTCTCTCTCTCTCTCTGCTATTTTGATCATCTGTTGCAAATTTATCAAAAAAAGGTATTAATAATTGTGCAACGTAGCAAACTATTATTGTTGTTGTTGTTGTTGTTATATTGGAAAGGGATTGATAGAAAGGGAAAATAATTGGTTGATTTCAATATTGTCAATAATAAACAATTATATTTCACTATGATAATTTCTGTCGCATTAAAAAAAGATTTCATCGTATTTATATGGCGCTTTTATCGTATATGTTATGTAATAATAATAATAATAATAATAATAACAATAATAATGATTACGTGTGATAATAATGATTATGTTAATTTATTACTTTTAATAAACATAACTTATCAGTTTGTTTGCTTTTTATATTTGCAAGTTTATTCAAAATTTAATGAAAAAAATGTATTATTTGATTATTTGCAAAAGAAATTTTCTTCTTTTTGTTTTAACTATAAATTAAAAAATGTTTAATGTAACAAATTTTCATTGTTTTATTTGTGAACTTTCTTTCTTTTTGATTTGTTAAATTTTGATACGATCACAATACTATTGAATATAAATTTGATTTAATCTTTAAAATAAATTTTAAAAAAAGTTGTCGAATTTTCTCTTTTGCATTTTCGTTTATGAAAAATTATTAAATTCGATATTGTATGCATGAAAATTTGCATAAAATATTAACTTAGCATTAATCGATAGCATTTTTACTTGCCAAAATAACGAATTAAAAAATGAAAATATGATGATGATAATGATGACAATGATAATAATGACGATGATGATAATAATAGTATTAATCAGTCAAAATAATAATAATAGTAAAATTAAAATGATTGCGATGAATGTCATTGAAATATTTCAACACACCTATTCTTCCCTTCAAGCAAGCATTTTTGCTTCTTTTTCTCCTCCTCTTTTCCTCTCAATTTATATTTTTCATGTCATTACGACTGTCACCATTGATATTCTTCTTCACTGCTTTTCCTTTTTTTTTGAGATATTAAAAAAGAATTTGATAAAAGTTTTAATTTCCATTATCAGTTATCAATTTAATCATTTTAAATTATTTCTAAATTAGTCTCTTTTAATTGAAAGAAATTACCAACGAATTAAAAGTGTTGCATTAAGAGGAAAAAATTCATTTCAATTTATAATAAATGACATACGTATATATGAAATGTGTCAAATAAAGAATGTAAATAAAATGACAAAGTAAGTAATTAAAAAATCAATAAAATCAATCAATCAATCAATCAATTAATCACTGATAATATGTTATTGTAACAATCATTAAAATTATTGCAAATAATTTGTTTCGATGGAAAAGTTTGGAAAGGAATGTCAAATATTTCGAAATTTCCTCTCAATAAGCAACAAAATTTCAATGTCAATTTCAAAAATTTATTTTCTTATTTCATTTTAGGTAAAATCAATGATTTTATTTTATTGCTATCATTGCCATTCGTTCTCTCTTTTCCCCCGCTTTATCTCAAACTCTCATTTCTTTCCCGATTCTTCTCACTCAATCAATCAATTTTCTATTCTTTCAATGTAATTCTATCCTATTCATTCATTCATTCATTTCTTTTCTTGCATTTCAAATAACCTCAATTTTTCATTTCATCACTTTTTCACTTGCAAGTTTTTGTTGTAAATTTGCTTTTCTTTGCAATGAATAAGCAATTTTTCTTTACTTACATTTTATTTTTGTTTTTTGCTATCCAGTCAATTAATTAATTAATTAATATTGTAAATGTGAAATTAGAATAAATGAACAACAAAACATTTTATTCATTTGCTTACTTAATATCAAAATACTTAATATCGAAATTTTTATGTGCACATATTTACATTTTATACTATTTTATACTTTTAATTATATTTATCAGAAATGAAAAATTGAAATTCGCATCATTTATATAATTAATTACACAGAATTTTGATAATTATTAATCGAATAAAATTTTAATAAATTTATTATTTTAAATCTTTTTATTTATTAAAACAATCTTTCCTCCTACTTCTCATATTTATCATTAAATAATTTCAAACTTTTATATTTTAATACCAACAACAGCATGTAATAGTGAAAATGTGTATTGAAAAAATTCCGTAGAAATTTGGAAACATTTCAAATTTCATAATAATAATAATTATTATAATTATATCAAATAATTACTTCCAAATGTTTCAATGCTTCAATTATTAAATGTAATATTTCATTTATTCAATTTTTCCTCTTTGAATTAATGCATTATTTGAAAAAAGGAAACATTAAAATTTAATATTTTAATATTAAAATATTAAAATATTAAATTA